TCTAGCTGAGTTTTAAAGGTGAACAGAAAACTAACCCTTATGGAGCCATGGAAGTAGACACCTGAAGTAAAAACAGGGAGTAGTAACAGTTGGACACCACACCAAGCACCGTGCTACACGTTTTCTGCGTGTTATCTCATTTAATTTCCCTAAGCAATGAATGAGGTGGTGCTGTCAACATCTCACTTTCCACAGGGGGACATCAAGGCCGCCGGGAGACATGAGAATGCTGCTTGCCCAATGTCACATGTTTGTAAGTGGCAGGACTGGGCCTGAGTGATGGCAGAGCCCATGTCTTCTTCGCTTCCCTCCACTACAGGGATGGTGAGGGGAGATGCTATTTAGACTCCATCAGAACCTACAAGGACAGAATCTGACGGGTGACAGAGAGTCAGAGGGAAATGTGGAGGAAGGTCTCAGAGTGCTGTTGGAATTAAGACCAAGGTCTTCATATACTTGGGCTTTGGGAAGATGGATTCCCTAGAAACCCACCCACATCCATATCCAAAGATCCCTGAAGTGATTTTGTCTGCTGAAGAAAGGAAGGCTCTAAACAATGAACAAATTGCATATTATTCCAATGATAAAAGCCAGTTAAGTAATTCAGTTCAATTTAGGTTTCTTCAGAATGGTCTCCCTGGAGGTCAATGTAGCAGGATAGGGAACTCTAATTCCAGGAGGGATTTGAGGAGGACACATAAGACTGGAAAGGGAACATGTAATCCAGGATGAAAATCTGCGTAAAACTGGTGTGTATAATGCAGCAAAGAGGCTGAATTTGAAAAACAGCAACAAAAATACTCTAAGGACAGCAAAATAGTTCTTAAAGCTGTTTCTTTTGGATTGAGAACAAGGGGAGGATAGGCTGAGGGCTTGTGGCAGATGGTATAATGTTAGATGATGAGGAAAGGCAGAATTTTAAACTCTCAGCTTCTCTGTTTGCTCTATCAAGCAAAATGGCCCCTAATCCAGAAACATTAAACAAATATCTAGAAGAAGAAATCGAATCTGGGTAAATGATCAAATGGGAGAGCTGTAAATTTGGGTTTCTAAGACCAGGTGAAAGATGGTACATGAGAGAGTATCTGGATGTGATACTGTTTAATCACAATTTGTTGGATAAGCCAAATTAAGCACCTGCTATTGAAATTATATAAAGATATGACCTCAGCTTTTGAAAACTCTTGGGGAATTCTAAGATCAAAAGTCTAGATATTAGTATATTTTCCACTTTTCATATGGCAAAGATTCTGATCTTTGTCAAAATTCAAGAAAAGATGATTAAAGCAATGGCAAGCCTGTTGGAAAGAAAGTTAGAGTTTCCTATACATCATTGGTGCTTACTGAGACACTGTGAAAAAATAAACGGCATCTCCTTTCCTGGGTAGAGTTTCACAGTTCGTAGTGTCGACAACCAGGGCAGATGTTGCGGAACTTGATTTCGGGAAATTATTTCAGGAGCCCATAATACCCTCATGGATAAGATAAGGTCACTTAGGCTGGAGGATACTAGTTAGGTACATTTATAATCAGCTTCATCCCAAGGCTGAGACAGGTCTCTAAGATGGATGCAAAGCCTCTGCTCTAGTTTCAGCCCCATCTAACGTTTGCTCGGGGTCAAACAAAAGTCCAGGATACCCACTCTCAATTCTGCATAAATCCCGGATCAGAGAAATGTGTCAGTTAGATAAAATACTCAATTTGCCTGTAATAGGACAAAGTAAGATGTTATTTAACGAAATGTATATAAAGTCTTGACTTAGGTTAAGAGAAAGATCAGTTGCACAAATAAAACATGAACTACCACTTCACCATCACCATTGTGCAAAGACCAGAGTTTGTTTGCAGGTTAATAAGAGCCCAGCATGTTGTCTACTATAGAGACTTCTTCAACCCTGGGTCAGAGGATGAAGGCTGGGAGCATCTCTCTACTCAGGAACATTTTATTTGATTCTAGACCCTCTTTCAAGATATATCATGGAAAATTAGAGGGAAAAGGGAGGCAGGCAGCCCTTATCTGATAAAATGATAAATGGCCCAGAGGTGCTAACTATGAACAAAGCCAACTTCTGTAAACTGAAAGGCCTGTCTTCAAATACCTGAAAATTTATTATGTGATATGTTCTCTAACCTTGGAGGGAAAAACTGGAATCAGTGGCTAGCAGCCATCCCACTGGTGATCAGTGAAAAGAATTTTTCAGTCCTTCATTACACAGCCATGAAGAGGGCTCCCTGGACAGCAGAGAGCTCCCTCATTGCATGGAGAATTATAGTGGGCACCGGAGTGTGCACCTGTCGGGGAGGAGGTAGAAGGAATTCCTGCACTGACTCCTTGGCTGGACCCCTCGAACCCCGCGGGTCCTTCCATCACATACATTGTATGATTGAATTTAATGAGCTTATACTATGCCAGGACTAGGCTGAGGGTTTTGAGTGTGCAATCCCACTTCAGTTTTACTACAGATAAGAAAGCCCCTAAGGCTCAGGGAGGCCACATTTAATTACTCAAGCCCACGTAGCAATTGGTAGAAGTCTGATTCCAAGTCTGCGTTTCAAGTATATGCTCTTAACTTCTATGTTGTATCTGATCTCTGGTTTATACATTTTATTCTTGCAGCTGCCCTTGACTATCTTGTACTTTTCCTCCTTTTCTCCCTGCCAAACTCTAATCCATCCATTTAGACAGAGCCTACCTGCAGCCTCCTCACTTCTTACGTGCAAGATTCATTGCCTCCTTCCTGTGCTCCCATAGCAAGGGAAGGTTGAGTTTTACTTACCTATGTGGGACTTGTTTTCCTCAGTGGACTGCAAGGCTCCAGTCTCCCAAAGAACGGAAACCAGTGTATTCATTCATGTCTCCCAGAACCCTAAACAATGCTTAGAAGATATCGGCACTCAATGTGTTTATCAGTTTGTTCATTCATTCATAAAACCTAAGAAAGAATAACATCATTTTTCCCTCCCTCTCTCTCCCCTTTAATCCTTCCCATATAAAATTTCACATATTCTTTTACTCCTCCTCCTTCAATGTCCTTTGGTTTTCTACATGAAGTACAAATGCCTTAGCATGGCTTTTAGGGTCTTTGTTCTGAGATAATCATAAAATCTCAGGCATCCTGGTTCACCTCTGCTCCCTTAGCCTTCCCAACGCATGTCTCCATCATCCTCTTTCTGCTCTCCTTGTCTTTTCTCATATGTGGTTTCCTCTTCTTGAAAACACATTATTCCATCTTCATGATTTTCTCTCAAAAGATGTCTATTCTTCAATATCCCATTCCAAACCCCAGCTTGTGCCCCAACCAAGAAGACCCTGCTTACCCTGTATTTCCAGGGTGATTTTTGTTGCTTTCTTGTGACCCTTTTCTAATGTTCTGTTTTATCCCAGCACTTGCAATCTATCTAGCTGCCAAAAGATTACCTCACAATATTTTTGTAGATTCTCTGCCTATCTCCAAATTTCTTGTAATATTTAACACCACACTATCACCAATCCCTAAGGCAGTACCCAACACATGGAAGGTATTTCATAAATACATCTGACTGAATGAATAAGGGAATGAATGAATGAATGAATGAATGAATGAACCAGAAGTTAAGATCTGCATTCTAGCACCAGTTTGCCATGAAATATATAATTTTGGGAACTGGATATAACTGGGCCCCAGTTTCCTTTTTAGTAAAAAGTAGTCAAAGAGACAGGAAGAAAAGGAGTGAATTGTTATTGATTATTTGTTGTGGGCAAGACAAAGTTCTATAGGCTTTATTTACTTTACACGACTACTGAGAGAGAGGGAGACAAAGATAATACTAGCAGTGAAGGGTATGGCTTAGGATAAGATATAGTTGAGTTCAAGCCCCAGCTCTACCACTTACTAACTGTGAACCTGGGCAAGTTCCATGAATCCTTTAAAGCTCTGTTCCTTCAGCGATCCAAGTGGTGATGATGAGAGAATCCACTGGTGAGCTTACTGTGAGAGTACTACCAAATGCTGCCTGTAAGGCACATGCAGCCAATCACCTGGCACAAAATTGCTGCATAATAAATAGTACCTCATTATTATTATATTATACACCTGCCTTATTATTCCAGTGTAGCCAATGAAGAAGTAGAAACAGAGGCTCCAAGATGTTAAACAGCTTGCCCAAGTTCACACAAATCTCCCTGGATCGTTTCTCTCTCTGCATACAGAACTCCCCAGTGTAAATCCTTCTAGAATTGGCAGAAAGCTTTGCCCCGCAGTATGTATTCTTGTTTTAGGGTATGACATTAGAAAGCCACCACTATGTTGCAACTTCTTGAATATGGGCAGATTTTAACATTTTAGTGTCTGAACATTTAGTGTCTAACATTATCTGCGAAGTAGCACCAACATGATTATTCTTCTGTTTAAGAATGGGCGTAATTTAAGTTGTAAAAATAAATATGGAATATACATATATATATGTGTATTCCCCCTGATGAGACTCAAGGCTAATAGCATTTTTTTCATCATTTGGCTTTTATTTGAGAAAAAAAAATCAGTCACCAGTCCCAAGATCAAATGTGGCGATGTGAGGCTTCCTGCCCTGTGAAGGGAGGCACACAGCCCCGGAGTACTAAATAGGCATTTGACTCCAGGGAGAAAAAAGAGAAGGAGATAGTGACCATCATTAGGACTTCTTGGGGGAGGATTGCACAATTCACATATAGAAGTTTCACAGAGGACAGAAAAGCGGCCAGGAGAAGGTTCTTTGCGGTAGAATGTTACTGCCAGCATATGACCTTGGAGCTGAAGTAGTCATGCCCAAAGTGTCCAGAAGGACTGCTGCTGCCATCCCAAGCACACACAGTGGGGTCTTATTTGTCATGCCTATGACCTTGAGGTGTCAACAGGGGGCCAGGGAGCGGCTGCCTGCCGAGCCCTTCTCGCTACAAACATGCCTCGCTAAAGTGGCTGCAAAGCAGTTTGATTATGAGGAGAGAAACGCCAATCTAACCCATTTGTCATTGATTTCTTAAGCAGATTCAGGGACACAGGATGAAGCCCAGCTTTTGCAGGAATGGTTTAAGCTAGTCCTGGAGAAGAATAAATTAATGCGATATGAGTCGGAGCTACTGATCATGTAAGTAAGGCAACACAGATAACAGTGAGTCCTAAAAGCAAAGGGCTGGGAGGGGGCAGCTCGTCCTCCTGGTTTGAAGTCCCAGGATTTTTCCTCTTTGTGCATACAGAACAGTGATTGAGGCAGATTGATATTTTATGTCTTGCATATCATGCTGTCATTAGTGTGAAGAATCTTCAGTTGTCTGTTCTGTCTGTGGAGTCCTGTGGCAAGAATAGATTTAAGGTAGCAAGTCAGGAGGTGGAGGGCATTCAGACCATCCTCATCCCCCAGGCCTGTGGAGAGGAGCAGCCACGCACCTGCAGTGGGAAGGTTGTGTCTGGCCTCGCGGTGGATCATGGGGCCTGCCCAGTCACTTCCGGTGGCTTTACCAGAATGAAGGACTGAGGTCTGTCTGGCTGTCCTTCCTGCATGAGGGCTTGCAGCCTGGTTGGGAGGTCAGAAAGTACAGACAGACTTCGCCACTTTCTACTGGGAAAGTTGAAGTTCATGATATCTATCACCATCCTAAAGGGAGAGAAAATAATATTTAGTATAAACCAACCAAACCTCGGGAGTTGTGCTGGGAGCTTTCATTTAGGCTGTTTCATTTCGTCTTCACCACAACCTTGACAGGTAACCCAGGGTACTTTTAAGGGCTCTAAAGCAAGTGAGAAATAAAACAACTGAGTCTGTAAGTAGAATGTCAAAACAGCGCTTTTAGTATTAATAATGGCTAACTCAGCTAAGTTCACAGGATCTGCCTGAAAGAGTTGGGGAGACTGGCTGCTGCTGCCAGCCAAAGGCCTCCCCAAATAGTGCATGATAAGAGTACTTTCTCCTCCAAAAACAGTCACATAGGAGGATGAAGACATGGGTACTACTCAGAGATAGGAGGAGCTCGGCTGAAGGACAGGTTTCAGTTTAGAGAAAGACCTGGATGGACAAGGAGAAATGTATTGGATTGGTCAGTTTAGATCCTTTTGGGAAGGAGATGCCAGGACAGAGGGAGATGGGGGAGGGCCCAGGTCTCAGCATGACAGTGAACTGGACTCCAGCAGCATTCAGCTCACTACGGTCCTCCCACACGGGCCCATGAGAAGTTCAGTGTCTGTAACAAAAGGCTGGATATTGAACAAGACAGAAATCTCAGCCCAAGCAGTATTTGAAGTAGTAACAATAATGACAACAACAGGGAATGGCAAATGCAGGCTGAGGTTGGGGGGCCCTGCAGGACAAACCCAGGGGCCTGTTCTCAGCCCTCAGCTTCTGCAATGGATCTGAAGCACTGATCACCCTTGAATTTGCTCTTTCCTCTTCAACTTTGCTTTCCTGGTTTCTGGGATGCTGCATTTATTATTTTGTCCTTCCAACCTGCTAGCTGCTTCTCTCCTGGCTCCCTCTCTTTTGTTTGACTTCTACATGAAGTAATCCCAAAGCTTCGGTCTTCAGATTTTTCTTTCTCTATGGCCGCCTGTCTTTTAGTGCCTTCACATGACTTCAACTATTACCTCTTATCACTGCCACATCTGTGTGGGTCCTCATTTCTGCTGAGAGCTCCAGAGCAGCATTGGGGAGCCTCTCCAAGACAGCCTGGGCTCACACATGGGAAGCTGACCCACACAGTGGGATGTAAGTGGGCAATCCCAGAGACTGAAAAGTTAAGTTCCCACTGGCCCTCACGGAGGACAGACTTCGCTTCTTGACTCTGTTGTTCCAAGTAGCGAAAATAGAGTTCCCGGCACTCAAGCTTGACTCCTCCAAAGCTTCACTGATCCAGCAAGTTGGATCAGTGCCTAAGTTTTATTGCCTGCATTTGGACAATGTTTCACTTGGTTTCCTCCTTTTGGTCTTCTTATTGACCACAGCCAAGGATTGGGGAGTTGTTAGAGGTGATTCTTGGAAGTCATATTGTACCTAAAAGAGATAAGAGCTTCAGATGTCATGGCTGCTTCCTTGGACCATTCCAGTCACTTCTCCACTCTTCTCCCTCCCTCCAGTCTGTCCCAGCAGGGGATCTATGGCCTTCCCAGAGCCTGCTGCCATCACATCCTGGCTTTCTGCTGTTCCCCATTGTGTCTTGAGCCCGGCCCATCTCAGCAGTCTCTCCAGGCCAGTCCAGTGATCCCAGCAGCATCAAGGCTTTCCATTTAGAGATATTCTAGGATCCCTGTTTTAATAAGGAAAAAAATATGATAGGTACTGTTAATGGACATCTTTTGCAAAGTTTCCACACAAATTCCTCATATTTACAGTTGGAACATTCTCTCATACCCAGGGCCCAAGAACTAGAATTAGAAGATCATCAAAGCAGACTGGAGCAGAAATTAAGAGAGAAAATGCTCAAGGAAGGTGAGTGTGGGGATACATTTAGGGCCCTTGTTAAAGTCATCACCCCCGCCCAGAAGGACGCTGAGCAGAGCATGCTGCAAATCTCAGAGTGGAGTGCTCCTCCTTGAAAGACCCACCAGCCTGAGAGTCAGGGGAGATGCAAAGCCAGCCTGTCGTTGGTTCACCTCCACAGACAGGGAAGTCTCCAGGGAGCTTCACTCACTTGGGCAGTGAGGCCAGTGTTTTGCTCCATCCCATGTGCCAGTAGGAACAAAGCCATTCATTCACTTATTCACTTATCCATCCATTCATTTAGCCAACATTTATTGAGAATCTAGTGTGATCCTGCATGTGGTGAGAGCAGCTCCTGCCCTCAGAGTCTGTGAGCTCACTGGGGAGACCAACACCCAGACCAGTCATTATTGCAGAGAGAGGGCCATAACAGGTGCTTCGGGAACACGAAGGAGGGCAGGTCTGGTGCTGCCAGGCATTAGAGATGGGCTGGCCCAGGGCATCGAATGGGAGAAAACCATTCCACCCTGAAGGAAGGAAAATGGAAATGAATTCAGTTGACCTGATATACTGAACTATCCATCCATTGGTTCCAGCCAGAAAGACATATTCCCTACATTTTGTGCCTATGTGTTTGTGGGTCAAATCCATGGATGACTTACTTGCCTAGTTTTAGGCCTAGGTCTAAAATAACAAGTTAAATAATGCCTTTAAAGCTCATAGAACTAACATTGCATCTTCCTCCATGGGTTACCTGGGACAGGAAAAGGAAATAATAGACGTCATGATTGTTTTTTACTTTAACCCACTTTATAGATTAGAAAACTGATTCAGAGAGAACCTAAATAATATGTTCAAGGTAAACTGTAGGACTAAGATTTAAGATGGGAATACAAATTAAAGTTTTCTGCTTTTTCCCCCATGTGGAAGTGATTTGCAAGCTGTTCCTTTATAGCAACAATGTTCTATTTATAACAAATCCTTTATACAGCTGCGGTGTGCAAGACAGGTAAAAGTAGTATTATATAGGGCTGAGGTGTAGCTTAGTGCTACAGTGCAAGGCCCCAGGTTCAATTTCTAGCACTGCAAAAAATAAAATACAAACAAAAGTGCTGTACATCTTTTATTTGTCAGAAGGAACTCAGATGTCTCTATCTGTTAGAAGCCTAAACTGAGAGAGGAATTTTTAAATTTTTCTATGGTGCTTATTAAATTAGGAAGACCAATACTGGAATATACCTAAGTTAACAAACCATTTTATGTCATCTGATTTACATATTTGATGCCAAATTTTAATTTTTGTTTCAGGATAGTAAAATAAATACCCCCAAAGACTCTACTAGCCACCTTGGACTCTCACTTCTTAAAAACGCTATGAAATGAAGGTTATGTTTTCTCTCTCCCATCTTATGTATATGTTCCCACCTCCTCCCGAGAGTGGCTTCTTTGTTTTGTCTACAGCAGGGCTTACCTTCCACACAAGCTTTCTCCCATTAGTTAGCAAGGAAAAAATAGGAGCTCTTCATCCCTCTCCGATGAGCTCATTCTGATGCAATGATTTAAACAGTACTTGTAGAAAATGCTCAGTCTCTCGGGGACGAAAACAATCAGTCTTGAAGATGGCCACCGCTTCCTTCTGCGTTCCTCCCTGGGGTGACTGCCAGGAAAGGAAAGTGGAGAGGCAGTTTGTGTCCTGGTGGCCACGGTGCCTTGTGGGGTGCCGACTCACTGAGTCGTGTCCCATCACTGGGCTGCCACTTTCCTGCTGGCACTTGCAGCTAAGCCGTGCGTCTGGTGTCACCTATACCCTGACCTTTCTCTCAATGGCATTCCCTGGCCCACTCCAGCCACCTCAGCACACACTGCACCCAAGGAGGTCACCCCATCTTCTGTCTCATCTCTGCGCGGGCCCTCTGGACAGCTACCTCTGGCAGCTTTAGGGCAAGTGGGCTCTTCTCAGGTCCCTCCCATCCCACACACAACAGATGGAGACTGGGGAGCTACCCCATGGTGACCCAGAGGGCGCCCTTCCAGCTGGTCTCTTCCTAGCCTTGAGCAAGGGGCAGGACAGGTGTCTTCACGCCCTCAGTGTTGCCTCTAATGATATGAGACATTTCCTGCCCTTTTTGGGCAGTCAGGGTCCAGCATGGAGAAACCAAAGCACAGAGCTCTCTGCCTCTCTCTTCACCCTCCCATGAAGCATGAGGTGCTAAGGGACAGGCACACCCCATTTGCCTTCACAGCATCTACTGCTTCCTGGTGCAGACCCAGCACAGTGCTCCATGAGAGGCAGTGGAGCCCTCTCTAATTGGGCCAGGGCCCCTGCTGATCCTCAGTGTGTAGATGGAAGGCCAAAGGGAAGGAATGTAGAGTGATTCTCCCGCGGCAGTCATCTGGTTGGCAAGACCTAAAGCTAGCTTTGCAATCCTGTCGAGTGTCAGAAAGTCATCACCACCTGTTTGTCATGCTTTCCCTTCCTTCCATGACAGTGCTGTCCCTCTGCACAATCAGAAAACTTGGGCCAATTAGAAAGAAGCCTGGCCATTTGGAAGGGGTAATGAGAAGCAGAGTCCACCCAGAAACCTCCTTCCTAGCACAGTAGGGATAGCTGTAGCCTCCCTTGGCTCCCATGTGGTCACTGCCCGAAAGGCTACAATGTGTCATTAAGCACAAATGACAAAAGGATTCTTGTCATTGCTATTGCAGCCATTGAGGCAGACACTTTACTAGGAAACTATTCTCAATATTTTATGGGCAACAGCCTTTCTGTTCTGTTGGTTTCTTTTTTTTGGTGGGGGGGCGGGTACCAGGGATCGAACTCGGGACCTTGCACTTGCGAGGCAGGCACCGGAACCACCGAGCTAAATCCCCGGCCCTGTTCTGTTGGTTTCTTTCTGGGGCAGCACGGAAGGTTGGGAGACTTGGTAGGGAATGGCTGTATTAATTTCCTTTGCACACAAAGGGGTTTTCCCCGTCCCTGCATACAGATTCTTGAGGTGAAATCCAAGCTGGCTGCTGCACAAAGCACCCACCTTTCTAATCTGTGGCTTTAGGGGCAGTTCCTTGGTGTTAAGTTCATTTCCTTGTTTTCTTCATTGAAATTAAAGAGCAAAACAAGTCCTTCACAGTGGAGGATGCTCGTGCCCAGAACCCGCCTGGGCCCAATCTCACCTGAGGCTTCATGGTTTTCTTTCTTTTTTTTTTTTTTAGAGAGTCAGAAAGATGAGAATGATCTTAATGAGGAGCAAGAAATATTCACCAAAATGATGCAAGTGATTAAACAAAGGGACGAACTCGTGGATTCCTTAGAGGAACAGCGCATCAAGGAAAAGGCTGAGGACCAGCACTTCGAAAGCTTTGTGTTCTCCAGGGGCTGTCAGCTGAGCAGGACGTGAGGAGCCCCTGTCCCTCCCCGAGGCCAGCCCCACGCGCCACACTGTCTCCTTCTGGAACGGAAGTTATACCCTCCTGTGTGGTGGCGATTTTTATTTTTAATTAAAATTCTCATATGTGCTACAGCTTCCCAAGATTTTTCCAGAGATTATAATGAAAAAACCCCACAAAGACTGTTTTGGAACTGGCAGTCAATGACAGCCAGGCTCTGGGGTTGGAGGTGTTCTTGGCAGATGACCAGCATTGTTTTCTCTAAAAAGTGACACAAAGACTTGCCTTTCCCACTGCTTTAATCATTTTCCTTCCCGATCCATTAAGTTACATGTTTTAAGTCTTTTAAGAAGCTGCCTTTTCATTAATACATCCATATTTGCCCCCACCCCGCCGCCTTTTTTGCATGGATGACCGGTTTCCAAATGTCAGAAAGCTGCAGCAGCAGTTCAAAGATTAGGTTAATATTTAAATTGTGTTTCCAGAGAAAGAGGAGAAATCTCGAGATTACTGATTACATAAAGCAAATAACTCATATAGCAGGTGTTAATTCAATCCAGGGTGAATTTAATTTACCAGGTGTATTTATAAGCCTTAATATAATATACATAAGCAATGAGAGTTTATAGAACATTTGAGCCTTAGTTTTATTTTTTTTAAAAGGAAAAAGAAATAAAGCTTTAACTTCATGCCTGCAGAATTGCTAGTTTTCACCAAATCCTGTTGGCTTAGGAAAGCTTTTTGTTCCCACAGTGCTCTGCTCATGGCCCCTGGAGCATAATGATAAGCATTTTTAGAAAATGAATGATTTTGAAGGGCTTTTAAAAATAAGTGTTGATGATGGCAAAAAGAAAAACTCCTTCACTTGTTGAGAAAACATTGCTGAGGTTGGTGCTGCTTCAGGAAAACGAACAAGCCAAGGGGCCCAGGAGAGGGAGGCCTCTTGGTGCTGAGTCTTAGGGTTGAGTAGAGGCATATTATGACCCGCTCCGGGGACACCCCAGGAGCTCTGCGGCATGAGGATAAAACCGCTTCTGACTTCCAGGTAGAGCTGAGGGGAGCGGCTCCACGTATGCAATCCCAACTTGGGCCATGGATTTGTTTTTATGACATTTTCAATATGCACAGACAGCTGGTGGGTGGAGTTTGTGCGCTGACACACTGGGCTTCCCGGGGTGTTTTGACAGTGCAGATGGGGACCAAAGAAGGGAAGATTTGAAGTGGTGATGTGTTGTCATAAAATATTTGATTGTTCTCCCTCGGAGGGATGCTTTGAAGATTTAGTCTGTTATGGACCAGAGAGAGACAAAAGAACTTTTTGTTGCACATTTGGCCACTCGTTTCTGCGAGTGTTTAAATGTGTCATTAGGACAATAGGTGCTTGGCAACAGTTGGCTCTGACTGGGAACCAAATTTCTCTCAAGATAAACTGACCCAGGAACCACTTCTGAGACAGTCTGTGCACATCTGGCCAGCTGACAAGCCAGAGAGATGTATACAGACTTCCCCTGAGTCAGCCAGGGTTTTGGGTGGCATTGAAACAGCCTTTCCATGGATACTAAGTTCAGGGGCAGTCGTTTTTTTTTTTCCTTTGTCTTTTCTTCTTCTTTCTTTTCTAAAAATCCAGTCTTCTAGTGCCTTTAAGTCTATCATTAGGGAATTCTATTGCTGGGAAATATGCAGAGGCATCTATCTACCTACCTACCTAGAAAAGTTATACCACTTCCATTTATCTTTTTATTTATTTGTATGTTTAGTAGCAATTGATAACAATTTCCTGTTAATTCTGGCTTTCCTGTGTTATAATCTGGAAAAGACCTATTGGGACTAAGATGTTGGAATATAAGCTACTTAATATAGATGTTTGGTTTGTTTGTTTGTTTTTTTGGTGCCAATGATTGAACTCAGGACCTTGGGCTTGTGAGGCAGCCACAGCTCCAATGAGCTAAATCCCCAGCCCCCTTAATACAGATGTTTGGAACAGTAAGTTGTATAGTATTAAAGATTTGCGGAGATGGTCAGAATAATATTTTCAGCCATCAGGACTTTAAAGGTAAGAATATGGATGCACAGGAATGTTAACTCATTTTAAGAAAGTGATATATAACTTCAGTTTTTATTCTAAAGCCTGCAGAAGTACTCAAATCCAGTCTTTTTAGCCAGTTAAGTATAAGTACACTCTCTGATGCTTGCATACATATAACAGAGGATGCTCAAATGGGTAGTGTCTGGATTGTTATTGTGCAGGAGAATTAATTACCACTTATTTTAATCTGTCATATTTTCAGCTAAAAGAAAGATTCTCTCTCCCAGAAGGACCAAGAAAACAGGATTCTTAGCCCTATGTTCTGTTAATACACGAGAGATACAATTTGTTTACTTTCTCCCACAGAGTACATTCCGTGGTTAAGGCTTAACCTTATCTAGCTAAGTATAAAACATAAACCTCATCCTTAACAGTTTTCTACTTATGTTAGCTTTCTGTTTCGCCAGTACATACAAATCATTTAAATGACATTCCTACAAGTACACAAATATGGCTGTTGAATTAATTAAAGCGATTCCATTCCTTACAACAGAGAATGTTTAAGACCCTCAAAATGTAAAATGTCGTACATTTTAAAGACAGTTTCTTTGTGTGCAATATGAGCAGCATCATGATGAAAATGTACAGAGCCTTCACAATGAAGATGGACAAGGCCAAACAATTTAGGACCCTGAATAGGACATCAAGCCCCAGCCTCCAGGCATATTTCATAGTCAATCTCCTGTAGTTCCCAAATTAAGCCAAAGGGCTTAAGATAGTTATGAACTCCAAATTTTACATAAGTTGGACCAAGAGGATGGTTGTCAAATGTGTTTACCCAAACCAGTCATTTACTGGTCTACTTATTTAACATTCTGTGCCCTTGGGGTTCTGCAAGCCCTAGGTAGATGCTGAGATACAGAGAGAATTGTAATCCTTCTCTCTATCTCCTAAGAAATACAAAGATCAAGAAAATAACTACCACCCCCAAATCCAAATCCAAAGATAAAAAGCTATTTTTTATAAGCGTCAATCTATTCTACTCACGTTTATGTCAGGCATAAAGACTTACATCCCCCACTATTGCAGTGTTTTTTTGGCAATGAAAATAAGTTCGTGTTTCTAAAACTGTGAAAAATAATATCAGGTTGTACTGTTTCATTTAAACCTTGACTTTGGCAGTGTTAGGCTGCTTGGAATCAATCAATGCCGAGATGCAGCACGTTAATTGCAACTGAGAAAGGAAGTGGCAGGTGTTTCCAACTCTGATGAGCTGCGATGAAATTGATGTTTTCTGCATTCGGGAGGCAAATGACAATTCACCAGTGTCTCTCTTCCCAGGAAGCAGATTTACAGGCTTTTCCTTCCAAACTGAAAATGGCAGCATGCCCCACTCAGGTGGTTGATCAGAGCCACCTCCATGGGACAGAGGTGGCAGCGGGCAGCTGGGGCCACCACATGAGCGGAGAGAGTGGCAGTCACTGGATGTGGGGAGCTCAAATTGTCATCAGAAGGTTCATGTGCAGGGAAAAGTGTATGATTTCACCTACTGTTTATCTTCTAACCTCACTGCTGAGTAGCTTGTAAAAGATTAATTTGCTCCAACAATCGAGAGCTATTCACGTGGATGGAAATGTGTTCTACGTGCACCACTCTAAAAACTGCAAGGAACCAAAAGTGAATGGTTTTGTGTCTCAAGAATCAAAACGTATTTGTGTGGGCTTGGTCTGGCCCCTCTGAGGGCGGCATCCATTTCATCTCTTTCTTCTCAGTAAAAGAACCTGGGCTAAGCTTTGGTTTCCAGTGGGAGTCTATGGGTTAGCATTGGATGTTTTATTATCCGTGAGCACCTGGCAGGACTTACCTGAATCCCTTCCCATCGATCCCAATGGGAGGCGAGCAGGCGCTCACCTCAGGTGCATTCTCTCAACAAAGGAAGCTGTTTTCAGGGATGGAGAGAGGGAGGGGCGAGGGCGATCCTAGCCCAGCTGCCCAGGTCCTTTTCTCTTCTCAATAGGAACAGTCTCCTGTGCACAGAGCTGGCTGCTTCCTTTAACTCACACTCTTTTAGGACCAAGTTTCCTCTGTTCTTAACTCCAGTGCGCAAGCAGTATACAATGCACCAGAACTGCCATTCGAATTAATCAAGTGCTCAGTCCCAGGAGCTCTCACTGTTTCCCCTGCTGTTCCTCTCCCTTGTTTGAAAGCTTTTGTCTGATCAATTACTTGAGAGGATTCACCTTTCTATTGAGTATCAGTAAAAATGCTTACAATTGCTCCTTTTGGCAAGCACTGACCTGCCAAGGAAGGAGCTGCAGGAAGAGCCCACCACCTTCCCTGGAGCTCTGCAAGCTCTCCTCAGGTACGTTCCTCTGCCCTCTTCCTGCCCCAGAGCTGCAGACTCTCAGCTTGCTACACCTGGTATCTGGAGCCCTCCATCCCCGAGCCCTCATGGCAGGCTGGGTCATTTCATGCTCACTCTCTCTCCCAGCTCATTTCTAAAAGTTAAAAGGAAAAAAAAGCAAGAATGTGCAAGGTCCTGGGTTTGATCCTCAACACTGCAAAAAAAAAAAAAAAAAAAAGTGGCATCACAGCTCTCCTGAGGAGCCCCTCAAGCGCCTGCTCATGGTGATTACCCCTGTGAATTCAGCCCATCTCACCCGCCAGGGGCTGTGGTAAACTCTGCATGTGCATTATCGTATCGAATCCTGAAAGCAAACATCATTAATGTAAGTCTTATCCCCATTTTTAGAGCACAAAGAGGCTCAGGCTCTTATCTATGGTAGTCAAGGTCCACAGTAGCAACTGGACCCAACTATTCGCCTCTAGAGCCTGGATCCTTGACCACCAGGTTGCATGGCCTGGCTCTCGTGCCTTGTGTTACCTGCTCCTTCCCTCCCACCCTTGGGTGGGTGCTCATTGCCATCCTCCCCCGACACACCAGTGCTCGCTCTGTTCAGGGCTAATCTGGGAAGAGAAGCTGAAGCTGCCTTTTGACACAGTATTTTGTGTTCCCTATATATGAATGCTGCATTCATATGTACTCTAACATGAAAATAATTTTTCAAAACAACCCAACTGCCACCCCTCACAAAAAGCTTTCAGTAAGTGTGATCCTCTAGGGAGATTCCCCTTGTTTACCGGGGTGATCAAGTACTCCTGACACAGTCATGAACCCCGAGGGATGCTTTTGCCTAAAATTAAGCTCCAGGTGCTACAAAATTACATCCCAGTCCTTGGGACAGGGAGCCAAGAGCACAGAGCCAAGGGAGTTTGGGGGTCGGGGGGACCAGTGGAGTGAGGTGAGGTAGAATTTGTAGGCCTCTAGGGAGACGTCAGAGGGGGAGGAGGAACCAGGAGGATGGGGACAGGGCATCAGCCCTGTGGTCCTGTGTGACACTAGAACAGCCCAATACTGCATAGCAGCTCCAAATATACCCTTGGCACTACTCCAGTTCCCTTCCTGTTCTCAGAATAATAGGACACGCCTGCATCAATAGCATGAGGAAAACACATATGGTATGTGGTACTCATTTTGAACACAATCCCACAATCTAATTGTCCCTGACTGGGCCTCTAATCGCAGCTCTCTGGGGGCAGGGAAAAGCTCAATTGTGCCTCAGTGTCTTCTGTGAAATGGGGCTGATTTCCCCACCCCAATCATTCCCCTCCTCAAGGTTTCCTATCAAGGGGCAACTTGATCTATGTCAGTTCCAATTTTAAATTGGGAACAGCTAAAATGTACCTTTATAATTGGAATGGCCAGTGGTGAATCTTGAGCTGTTCAAATCCCAACAGCAGAACCAGAAAGTGACATTTCTAACCTCAGCAGAATAGACGGTTTTCTCCAGAGGAGATATGAGCAGGAAACCAGGCCAGGAAGCACACCCCTTGGATTACTGCCCCTTCTCTGATGCTGTCCTACTCAGAATGTGAATGTCTCTCTCTGGAGATCAAGTCTCTGAAATGAGCCCTGCTGACCAGATGTCCAGCCTCCTGCACACCTACAGGCCAACAGTATTCTAAGCCTACCCTTTGGTGTCTCCTGGAGATGCCATCTGGCCTAGGGGACTTGCTCCTGTCTTGTTGCTAGAGGCAACACTTCTAATCTTCCTCTCTAAAAGGAAACATCTGAGCTCTGAATAGCTTTAGTGTCTCGCCCGAGCAAAGATGCAAGCAGAGATGCTTACTCCTGCAGGCCACTGAAGTCCGGAGATGGGGTGTGGGAGGAAGATGGTCATAACAGGAGCCAAGAAGGCCTGGATCCCCAGATCACACTGAGCTGGGAGGGGCAGGGGAGCTCAGTCAAGACTCCGAGTAATCTCAGAGGCCTGTGACCTGCACTGCACACCAATGGAATCCCGGGGACCCCAGGGGTTCTCTCTTGCCTGGCTGCATCCTAAGTGGCTCATGCCTGCTTCCTTCTCACCTTAGAAGCTATCTCCTGTCCTGTTCCCTGGCTTGTCTCCATTCCTCTGCTGCAGGACTCAGGAAGGAGCTGCTGGTTTTAGGGCTTTGCCTCTACAGCTAATGCTCAGCTATTATGCTCAGGGGAAGAAATCCCTCTACCAATGTCTGCAGTTTATGGGGAGACTCAGAAGTATAGATAAGCAAGCCATCTATTTCAAGGAACTTGGGACACACCCCCCCCATTCCCCCAGTGGCTGGTTCTCAGGGTCTTTGTGTGGCACCATCCAGTGTGACCCTCAGAAACATCCCATTTCAGGCCGCCATGTCACCAGCTAAAGCTGAGGCCTTCTGCCTTCCTCCTTCCCTGCTCATCAAGAGAAGCCCTTGCTCCTCCACCATTCCCTGCCACCTGGGCCACCATCACTGAAGCAAGTAGGACTCCTAGAGGACATGCTCACTAGCACACTGGCCTTCAAAGGCCACCACTAATACCCCAGAGTCCCCGCTAGGATGTGCCATGGCCTTCTCACCTAAGACCCTTGCTGGGGGCGCTTTCATCTCTCATAGACTGCTTTCATCCTGAGAGCGCACCTTGCTTTCAGTGATCAAAGAGGTCTCTCTGGCAGGCTTCTCTCTCCCCTCTTGCTTTGATGTGGTCAGAGAGCTTCTGATTATTGATTTGGATTGGGTTTTGTAAAACTCTCACCGTGGACTGCAGGGACTGCCATTTTGTTCCTTAGATTTCTAGGACTGTGGTCTCAAAGGTCCGGGAACTAGGTGGTTTAGAACAGCAGAAACCATTTTTCCTTCAGTTATGGAAGCCGGAAGTCCAAGCTCCAGGCCTGTTTCCTGGACACTCTAGGGGAGGACCCCTCGTTGCCTCTTGCAGGCATTCCTTGACTTGAGGCAGCACAACACCAATGGCCACTCCCTTCCTGTGTGGCTTCCTATGGTCTTCACTCTGTGCCTGCCTGTGAGAAAGTTTTCCTCTTCTCCTGAGGGCCCAGTCGTATTGGG